ACGACAGTTTATAGTTTCTGTGTCTTTTTTTAAGTGTAAATTATATTGTATTATTTTCGAATTAGGAAATCATATATATATTTATTTATTTATATTATGAATTTATATTAATTTTTATATTTTATTACTTATTACATATTATATTTTTTCAAACATTGAATAAAATAATAATTTACTGTAAGCTCTAAATTTTACTCTCCATATCCATATCCCTAAATGGTAACTAGATTTTCTGAAATGCCTATTCATATCGCATAGATCATGTTAATAAAATATACTGAGAGTCATATGTTTACGATGTTGCGATATATACGTAACGTCTATGTCCATTTAATACGTTATATTGGCGTTTAAAATAAAACGTAACAGATACATCAAAATGTAGAGAATCTAGCGACATACTAACACAACGTTATGATGATGTACCAGCGAGCACGTCTCTAGTCTGAAACAGTGTGGATGTCACCAGTATGTTACAAGCATGGGTCACTGTTGATTACATTACATAGCACAGGGAAAGCAAATGTACGCAGTTTGGGATGTAACAGCTAACAAGATCGTAGACAGAGTTAAGTGGCATTAACATCGTTACGACGTAACTGTGTTTACTGGGTTGTATGAATTTATCAACCGTTTTAAACAGAAAATTAGCATTTTACAAGAACCAATTTCCTAGTGTGTTCTTTCAAATTCATTTGATGTTAATGAGGTCACAGAAGTAAAAATTGCGGCTCCGAAAATTAATATCCACAACACAGTGCCATTTTAGCATTTATGGTGCGTAATTCAGAAGTACTGTGTATTTGATTTTCGTCAATTGAAGTTCAAAATGTAAATGTGACAAATAAGTACATTGTTAAAACTATAGATACAGTCATGAACAGAAACTGACAAATTTTAAATTTACATTAATTTTACACTGATGTTCAATTTAGTCAACTTTATCATGCAGAAGTACATCAGTATATGTGATTTACGTCAACTAACAGTTCAGAATGTAAATTTGGCATGTATATCGTATAAAAATTGTGTATACAGTTTGGCGTCATGAATCGAAATTCGCAAATTTTCAATGTATGTTATCATTTAATAATAATTTTAAAGTATTGATAAATTTAGTAAAATTCATAATTCAGAAGTGACAGTTCAAAATGTAAATTTGATAAATGTATTCTCAAAATTGTAGATACAGTTTGGCATCATGAATTGAAAATGCCAAATCTTCAATACAGGTTATGTGTGCAAAATAAATTTAAAAATACTAGAGGAGTATCAATTTTTTTCAAATTCGTGATTTGGAAGTAATGTGTATGTGACTTCCGTCAATTGACAATTAAAAATATAAATATGTCTAATATATTCTGAAAATTGGAGATAGAGGTATTTGGTATTATTTTTGGCGCCATGAATCGTAATTAATAAATATCAAATTAATTTATTACCAATTTCTTTGTTTTTTTTTGTTTCAATTTTCACAGAATCCTCTCTAAACATTGAGGTTTTAAGGATACCTACTATGAATATCATTATTTTCTTAGTTAGGACTGTGATTCTTTCACACAGGTTTAGCTGAAAAAAATGTTAAAGGATTAAAATATTTAGGTAAATCATCAAAGCGAAAATTTGAATGTTTACATAATCATCTCAAAATGCATAAGCTACAGTTTGCCTTCATGGATCGAAACTGCCAAATTTTTAATTTGTTCTAATATTTTAAAAAAATAATTAGAAGGACTGATAATTTTGTTAAATCTGGGATTTGGAGGTACCTACATATTATACAACTGCCTTTTTTAACGATGGCCTTAGGGATTTACGTGCTAAAAAGTTTGGTTTATGTTAATTAGTTTTCTAGTAAAATTTGGCAGAATCTTAGACAAGTAATTTATAAATCAGCTTAGTACATTTCATTACATACAGCAAAATAATTACGAAATTTCAGCAAAAATGAATGCATTAAATTCGCCACAAATTCACGAAGTAGTTTCTTCACGTATGTAACTAAACTAATTAATGTTCTTTTTTTGTTATAATTCTGTAATTATTTTGTTCTGTACACTAAAATGAACTGAAGTCGATTTATAAAATACTAGTTCAACATTCAGCAAAATTTCACTTGAAAATTACGGCTACAAAACTTACTTAACACGACCCACAATTTTTTTTAATACAAATCACTGTAGTCTGCTTTAAAAAAGGCACTGTACATGTGATTTCAACAAACTGACTACTTACTGAAAATTTTGCGCAAATATCAGATATTCCTAAAATTGTAAAGACAGTTGTTGGGCATCACGTATCGAAACGAAGAGTACGAATCTTTTCATTTAACTGATTTATTTTTTTGTAAAAATTGAGCCTACCAATTGAGAAACCAGTGATATTTTATAATTTTGCCGGATCGTGCCAAATTGTTAAAAATTTAACTTCATCTTTTAAATATCTACTTATAATTGTTTTTTCCATTTTTTACTCACAATTCGTTTTTAAAGCCAACCTAATGATTCTCTATTAAGAATTATACCTAATAGATGAATTGATAATACTGCAAGGTTGTAGTTGATTTCAATTTCGCTCGTTTTTATGACGCATGCACTATGCAATAATATGCATTTCTCTGTCTAAATTCCGCTGTTTTGTGTCGCAATAACACCTTCGTTTCCCGCGTAAAATATTATTTGGACTACAATACGGTGGCTAAGTTCGTGGTCCATTATTGGGTTTATACTCTGTTTATAGTGTGCTGTTTAATTAATTTGTTACAAGATTGTGTGATTCGTGACGGCATCGGCAGTTTCTTCAAGTAAGTTGATTTCATTTAGTGTCGGTACTGATAGAGAATTTACGATATCCTAACCAAAACAAAACAAAAGCCGCCTAATTTTGCTTTTGCAGTAAAATCACAGGTCGTTCACAAGTACATATATGGCAATTTTGATTAAATGAAACTCTTGTCCTTAAAATACTTTTTTCTGCTTTATTTCTTATTCTGCTCATCCGGTATCCAGTGGCGTGGTTAATTTCAGAACGCATTAATTTTTATATATTTTTTAATTAGTAATTTTTTAACGGTTCACTGTACTAATGCTTCGTGATATGTTATCTTACGTAAATATACAGGGTGATTTTTTTGAACCTGAAACTTTCAAATATCTAGAAAAATAAACACTCCAAAAAAATGTCCATAATCAAAATTTAATTATGCCCCGGGGGAAATACATTAGTGGTAAATTTAGCCCCCCGCTTCCTCTCCTTATAGGTGGGGGAGGGGTTTCGAAACTTTAAACAGGGACTGCTGTTTGTTATTGCAGATTCGGAGTCTACGGCAAAAAATACATATGATTTGTTTGAAAAATTTTTTTTTCGATTCGTGGTAGATGGCGCTGAATCGACGAAATTCAAACTTTCTCGATTTCTCCCACTGAGAACCTATGCATACGATTTTGCAATACATTGGCACTAAAAAATACAACATTTTATGGAAATACTCGAAATTCGTCTTCAAAAAAGTTGTACCTTTACCCGTAGATTTCGATTCTGTAATAAAAACTGGTAGTTCCTATTTAACATTTTTTTGTAGAGTACTTATTTTCCGAAATATTTGAAACTTTCAGGTTAAAAAATTACTCTGTATAGTAAACGTCTTCTTATTAGTACGGTATTTTAAGATTTATTTGTGAATGTATGGTACTTCATAAAAAGTCTAAATCTATTTAATAACCTTTCCAAATAGATCATTTAAATATTTGTCCAGTTTGATTACATTTTAAATGTATTGTTGAAAATGAATGTTTATTAATAATTTTAATTCTCCTTTTTAGCCGTGGTATTATGTGTATAAGGTTTGCCCTTATTCGTTACTCCAATGGGGTATTCGATGTATGCGACGAAAAAATTATTAAGAAAAACCAGAGAAGAATAGAGAGAGGATCAAGTAAAGCATTTTACAATGTTAAGGTTATATGTATTGATGGTAAGTATGAAAATCGAATTTACGTAACCACCTATAGTTAAAAATTTAAATTAAAGTAACGTTTCTATCTTTGACTTTCAAGCAATAATACTTAATTTATTCAACTGGTCTAGTGCAATGATTGCAGGGTTATAAAAGTTACCTAGTGTTAAGTCTTATATTCTTGATGCATTACATCCGTATCCTGATATATATAAATAGGGCTGTATTTTCATAAGTGACAGTGGTTGTGAGCTTCGATCCCGAGTAGGTAAAAAGGCAAGGACGTATTATTTCAAATTGAGTAAAATTTCAAGCAGAAAAATTTTCACGATAACGAAATGACTTTATTAATTATAAACACGTCGCTACATGTTTAAATAAAAATTAATTAAACATAAAATTATTATAACAACGCCCAGTATAATTTCATTATATATTATTATTACTTGTGCTTATAAACTTGCAAAAATAAAAATCTGCACAAATGAATATTTTTTTAACTGTTGCTGTCAGAACTATTTACAGAATTACTGTCACTTATTTCGCTGTCAGAATCGCTGCTTCCGGTATTTGTAGTGATAATAACATTTTATTGTTGTTTTTTTTAATGGATTTCTCCACCTTTTAAACGTGCAGCATACACACCTGAGGTGTTTCATAACGAGAAGGGAAAACCGCTTCGTACAATTTTAAATTTAATGTGAAATTTTAGATATATGATCCATCTAACCCTTTGAGAGTACGGAATGCCTAGCTGCTGCTGATATCCGCACAACAATAATAACAGCATGCTTGATAACGACTATTGAATATAATTTTGAACAAATCTTTATTTTTTAAATATCCAGAGATTGAAACACTCTTAAATCTGAACCCTCTCTGTGGGCCAATTTTTAAAATTACCCAGAACAGATGTGACAAGTATCCACAGAAGCCGACCACATTTACGGGGTTGTTAAAAATCATAAAATATTATTTGGTTACAAATGAAATGCACCAAGTACATATATCTTTATAAGGACAAAGTAAATATAATTTTTGTTTTTTTTTATCTTTCAGGAAACTTTGAAGCCTTAGAAGACTTGAAACAACAACTAAATAAAGAAAAAAAACTACTAATTGGTAAGAACGAAATAATTTTATTTCTCCAGCCTGAACTAGTGAAGTAATGAAATAGGGTCCATTTGACAAATGACTGCTTTTATGTTTTCTCGACGTTTCATGACCTCTGAGGCATAAAAAAGGTCCCACGTTTCCGTCTGTCTGTCGTCTTCGTCGATTTTTATTAGACTCGTCCAGCCATATTATAGGTACACGTTGAAATTATTTTTCGCATTTTTGACTTTATTTTTGAATCCACATGCTTGCCACGTAGACATAGCGTAATCGTATTAGGTATTTAATGTATAATGTGGGTGTGTAATTTTAAAAATATGCAATTTTTAGAAATAATGTGTCTTTATGTAAAAATTACTCTTTTAATTTAAGTAGGGCATGCTGATATTTCAAGCAATAGAACAAAAAATAATGTGGAATATCTATCTAGCACACAGGCTCAAAGTGGATTACATTCACTTTTTTTAAACAGGTTATCATCACTTTTAAACAAAAGCGATGTTTGACTGAAAACATTTCATTAGTTAATGAAAGTGGCAACACAGAATTATTTATAAAAATTAGTATAAAAAAAACACTAACAAATTTTCTTTTGAAAAGTAGTACATACTAATGTTTTGTGCTCAATTTTGCTTATTAAAAATATTTGTACCCCTAATTCTAACACTTCAACGATCTTAGTGTATAATATGTTTAATTGTGTGCGCAGTCATTTGGAATGGAGATAATCTTCGCGTTGTAAAAATTATTCTTTACTATTTCATTCTCTGTGATTCCAAATAAAATAAAGCCCTTTACCAACGGTCGAAGATTATTTTGCCACAACTTCACTCGCCCGTGAAGTACTGTCGAACAAATACGGCTTCTTCAAAATTTAATTTGCAAATTTTATTTCTTTATGATAACCGCTATAAATTAAATCTAAAATATGTGTGAACTGTTACAGTACAGGTAAAGGAGCATATTGTGCGTGTGTTTTAAGTGAGTTTGTCCATCACAAAATGTTTGTGATAACGTCATCAACGTTTTAGGAAACATACGTATATCAATTTGAATAGGTGCAATCTAATATTAATAATAACGGTGCTGTATACTCAAATTTTCGAGAACATAAAGTGAGTCGTTCTTACTGTGATCAATAAAATAAATTCCCTCATTTATAAATTTTTTTAAGCCAGCGTTTATAAGTAATTCTAAAAGCTATTAATGCATTGCTAAATCACAAAAATAGAGGCATAGGATATTGCGCATTTTAGATAAGATTTATTTGACAAAATTTTGAAATGTCATCAATTTTTTGGGAGGGGGTAAATGGATAAGTTTAATATTGATTACCGATTTATATTGCTTCCGATAAACGTAATACGTTTGTAACATTTTAGATCGTACGGTTTTGCAGTTTCAAAGTTCAATTACAAAATGTTTTAAGATTTTGTTTTTTTTTTTCAAAAAACGTGATGTCTAAGGTAAAAACTCAACAGTAATCCATAAACCACAAGTGGAGGAGTATGTTATTTTATAAATTTTAAAGATGACGTAATCCTATTGTTGGTGGAGATGATTAGACAAATTTTGGTTAGCGCTGTACCCTCTACATCATAAATTAACTATGTGCTAAGAATATTATGTTAAACGTGATATTTTTAACAAACATACAAAATTTGACAACAATCGGTCTAGTAGTTTCGGACATTTTCTATCTCATAAAACTCTTCATAGAAGACAGACAGGCAGACGGAAACGTGGACCACTCGTACTCAGGTGTCATGAAACGTCGAGAAAAGTTCAAAGTAACAAGTCGATCAATGGAGGCAATTAATGCACTAAATAATACAATGTAAAATATGTTTGTCATTATTGTTTTATTTCAGTATCCGAACGTCTAGCAACAAAAAATTATGGAACAAACTCACGCTATTCGTGCAAGCAGAAGTTTTGCATTTTTTGCAAAACTCTCAAAACTAATTTAGCACGTCATTTTGAAATTTGTCACTCAGAAGAGGCAGAAGTAAGAAAATTCTTAAGTTTCAATAAAGGTTAGTTATCAAGTTAGTTGGAATGTGTAATTAAGTAAGTTTAAATTGCAGGTAGTCCTGAACGTTGCGAAATTATAGCAAATCTACGAAAAAGTGGCAATTATAATTACAACAAGAGCAATAAAGAGAATCCCATTCTTATCAGACGAGTGCAAAAAGGTTCACTAGACTCTTTACCATGCCCTAATTGGAAAGGGTTTTATTCACAGATAACACTATCTCGTCATTATGCCTACTGCTGCAAAGATCTGAAAGATAAAAATGCTAGTAGATCTGTTTTAAGAGCTGCTCGTGCCATGGTTAGTAAAATTCATCCGGCGGCATGTTTGCAACTAAAAGAGAAAATTTTGCCGCCAATGAAACAGAATATAATATTGGATACTGTCAAAAAAGATATGCTGTTAATTTTGATTGGCAATTATTTAGTCCCCAAATATAGAGAACACCAGGAGTATATGATACGGAACAAATTGAGGTTTCTAGCGACATATTTTTTAACTGTGAAAAAAATTGATAATAGCATTGACGAATTTCATAAGTTGTTCTACCCTCAACATTTTGATTTGGCACTTGAAGCAGTAAAACAGATGGGAGAAATTGATAATAATTCATCAGTGTACAGTAAATCAACATCCGCATTGACCATAACACATTATCTAAAAATTTGTTGTAATATTTTGCAAAGTCATTATATTCGAGGAGGAGACGATGGAAACGAAAAAGCTGTTAAAAGATTTTTTAAACTCCTGAAAACAGAAGTTCCTGGTAAAATAAATAAACCAGCCCATAGAGATCTGTGTGAAATGAAAAGAAAAAAAATGATGACGAAAAGAAGTATCATTCCAACGTCAAAAAATGTTGAAAATTTTAAAATTTACATTTTAAAAAATGCAGCAAAAACTTACAAGACTCATGACTGAAGAATTTTCTTTTACACACTGGAAGACTTTAGCGGAACTCACACTGATGTGTATCAGTGTTTATAATAGAAAACGAGCTGGTGAAGCCCAAAGAATACTTGTGGAGGATTTTCGAAATATACAGACTTTGCGTGATACAGTACTCCCAGAACTGCTCAACAATTTAGGTGACAATAGAATAAAGAAGTTGATTGCACATACAAATTAATGATCAGAGGAAAACTTCACAGAACGGTGGCAGTTATAATTCCCCATTATATAAAGAAATATTTAACATTTATTAATGACTATAGAAGTCAGGCTGGAGTATCGGACGATAACCCTTATATCTTTGGCTTGCCGGGGAAAATGGTAGGACAGCGATACAGAACTTTAGAAACGTGTCGAATAATTAGAAAGTATACAGCTATGGCAAAATTACAAAATCCATGTTCTATAAGAACAACCCTTCTACGAAAACAGTTTGCAACAAAGACCTCAACAATGAACCTTCAGGATCATCAAAAAGAAACCGTCGTTAATTTTATGGGTCATCAACGAAATATACACGACGAGTATTACAGGCAGCAGATAGTTGTAGGTGATTTAATGATAAAGAAAATCTTAGATCAAGAAAGCCAAATGACCATGGACGAAATTTGTGAAAGAAATGAAGACAAAACTATTGATCCAGGTATTTTTGGAAAAGAAATAGGCATTTTGTTATAACACTTATGTTTTTTTTTTTTTTAGATATAGAACGACCTCTTGTCACAAATTGTTCTGTTAGGACTTGCACTGAAGGTAATCACTTAATACTAAATTCACAAAATATTGCTAAGTTTTTTAATAAAGAACTTAGGAGAGAACTTTTTAATTCCTGAGCATACTCACGGTACCGGCATCATATGTCTACCAGTGTCTAATACATACAAAAAAATGTTTAGACAACTATACAAAAATTAGTGATAGACATCTATATAACACTCGGAGTGGTAATGGTATATACCTCATTATCTCAGAATATATAAAAGCCGTAATTCAATTAATTACTACGGCCCTAAATACTTTAACAGCTTACCTTGCAATATCGCAGCACTTCCGGAGCCACAGTTTAGGAACACTGTGAGACAAAAATTGTTAGAATCTCCACTTTACGACCTAAATATGAGATCTATAAGCCAGGTTTTTAATTAATTCTACTGATGTACAATATACTAAGGTGTAATTGTTTTGTATACGATATATGTGTATTTATGTTCTTTTATTTTGACCTTACTTAATGTCTGTGTACATTTTTAAAGTATAATAAATATTATTTTATTATTATTATTAATATTATTACAAGTATAGACTCAATATTTCGACGTTCGCAAGATTTTAGAGAATTTGGTTACAAACAATTTTGTGTTTTTTTTTCTAAAAATTTGGGTTTCTAAGGTTAAAAAACAATGCGGATCCAGAAAGTATACATTTAGGAGTATGTTACTTTATAAAATTTGAATAACACCTACTATACACAGTTTTAAGGGTGACCTCATCACATTGTTGGTGGCGATAATTAGATTGGTTGGCATTCCAGCATGTTTCGGAGATCATCTGTTATAATAAAAGTCGATACAGTCATGAAACGTTGAGAACACATTAAAGTAGCCATTCGCCCCATGACATGAATGATTGCGATGATTGACAAATTTTAAATTATATATTTTTAGTTGGGAATTTAACTCCTCCGCCAAGTACCAGTCAGGAACCAGTTTTTACGACTCCAAAAAGTAAAATAAAAGTTGTTAGAAAATTTAATTATTGTAAGTATTAGTTTCATACTAAATTGAAAAGTCTTTTCTGCAGACACTTAACGAATATTGGCACCAGAAAGCGTTATGTAACAATTTTTATAACATTATAAACTTTATAATTTAACGTTTCATACGAATATATGTATTTAAACCTTTTAAAAACATTATGATGGTTCAGAAAATATTAAACAATTGATTTTACCAGGATTTTAGTTATTCCGTAAAAGGACATTGACAACATATATTCCGTAATAAATCCGATTCACTTGTAGAAATTAACTTTTAAAATTTTAGTTTCTGTATTCCTAACAGATTGCAATAATTATTCACGTAATTTTTTAAGAAAAAAAATTTGTTAAATCATAGTTCCGCTAGTTTAGGCTAATAAGACTAATAAGCTGCCTATATTTTGAATCTTAACATTTTAGCTCCATCATCCGAACCATACAGCGGTGGAAGTAGTGATGAGTGGGACCCCGGAAATGTTTCCCACATTCAAAAAACCCTTGGTCCAAGTAAGTATACAGTAATACTTATATCCTAAAAATCAGAAACTTTAATTTCTAGTGACTACAAAACGCCGTGTGTGGTTGACACCAAAAAAGTCGACAGCAAAAGTTCTGTTTAAAAACTGCATAGAAAAATTAACAGTACCTAGTCTGGCAGAATGTTCAGAAGCTATTGCTCACTCAAAAACTCTGCAAACCCGAACGGCGCAGCAAGTAAGGCAGTGGGTGCAACACTATATTAAAACCAATTACTTGAAATGTAGGTATAATGATTTTATTTATTAAAACATTTCAAATCTGAGGAAAAAATTCTAGGTGATACTGCAAAAATTCGACGTCCCTGGAGTACACCAGAAAAGCAGCTTGTTCGTAAAGCTTTTGGCACCTACATTGCGGAAAAATTGTATCCATCAGGATTTGAAATAAGCGAATTAATTAAAAAACATCCCATCCTCAGAAGGCGCTCCACAGCTTCTATAAAAAGTTTTCTGCAACATGAAAGATCAAAAATGTAATCATTGTGTTTGCTTTTATATGTACCCGTAATAAATAATTATAAATAAAGATAATAACCCAATTCAAATTCTGTTTTATGTTTTATTAGAAATAAAGTGAAAATAATGTCTTTAATTTGAAACTAAATTTTCTTAAAGTGCTATATTAGAATGCTGTACCACGAAGTACATACATAAATGAATTTAATCCCATTTCCCCCTAAGTTAGGCACCCAGTAAAACACGATCATAGCGAATTTCCGGTGCATACAGTTTGGCTTCACGTAAGAGTGCACATAATACTTGAGGTCAAACTGTTTGTTAGACATACATATATGTATGCACGGTATGTTGTTACCTCCGAAGTATATACTAATAGTACGTTGTCACCTCATCTACAACGTTCTGACCTCCGGTTTCGGAGGTAGAAACGTTTTGCCTTGTAAATAATTTATTAATCATCCAGGGGGCGCTAGGAGCTTGATTTTCAATTTTCGTCTGGAGGTCATAACGTGCATCCCATAGTCGCAACTTTTTATTTTAGTTTAGCTGTAGACCGTTGGCGCTGGCGTCGCTTACCTTTATACACTGCTAGTATGTTGTTACCTCCGGCATATAAACTGTACGTTCTGACCTCTGAAACTTGGCAACGTCGCCGTCATACATATATCCAACGCATGGTAGAAGGAAACATGGTATACGCATACGTATCGACTGTTACGTCCAATGGCATCAAATTAGCGGCAAATTTAAAATACATTAATTTGCAATCACCCCGAAGGCTAGACAACGTGTTGGAAAACTGTAGCCGGCAGTTTCGATCTTGTTTGATATCATCAGTACAGCACATTCCATCGAGTTGTCTAGCATTCATTGTGCTTAAGATTTTAAACTTGCTAATTTCACACCACTTTTTTTGTTAATCTTTATGCTCTTTGCCTAATAATTGGAGTTTTCACTCTGTTGAGGCATTGTATCAGTAATAATAAGATTAGCAACCAGCTAAACAGCTTTAAATTGAAAATTTTATTTGTGATTATACAGTTATTGCAGTCGTATGTAATATGGGATCGCAAAATTTAGGTTTTTGTGTAACCACTAACCAACATTAGTGTAGAGTGCACATGTTTCTCCAAAATGTTGACCAGTACCAATTTACTGTTACTTTATTTGTCGAAATTACTGTTGGTTCTGAAAAGAGCCGATTTGATGCTTATCGCTGTGCCGCGCTAGGGTCTATCTGAGCCGTACTGCTCCCTTTTGTAGAATATATACCACCCAAAATGTGCAAATGTGTTCTTATTTGTAATCCATCATTGCACTCACATTTTTTAGATTTTCTAAAGCAGGGGACTCAAAAAATTAATGAATGGGTCAATTTATTTTGTTGATTAAATTAGGAACGCCTCACTCCATTTTCCCAGAAAATTTTG